CAGGCAAAACACATTTCTTTTATTTTTTACGGGAGTCACATTCAACTGTAGGTCATAACAGAATGGCACAATCATAAAACTAAACCTGGCAACAAGTAAACAAATGAAATGCCCCTTGTTCAAAAGTCTGCATACCTTTCCTTCTTAACATCTTAACACTGTGTATTGCCCCCTTTAGCATCAATGACAATGTGCAGTCTTTTGTAATAGTTGTCTATGAGGCCCAGAATTCTTGCAGTTGATATAGCTGGTCATTCGTCTTGGCAAAATGCCTCCAGGTCATGCGCACGTTTTAGATCTTCCCAGACTGTGATGCCCACTCAAGAACCTTCACCTTTTTCTGCAGTAACCACTTGAGGGTCAACTTGGCCTTGTGCTTAGGGTCATTGTTGTGCTGGAAAGTCCAAGAGCATCCCATGTGCATCTTTCATGCAGAAGAATGCAAATTGTCTGCCAGTATTTTCTGATAACATGCTGCATTCATCTTGCCACCATGCTTCACAGTGAGGATGGTATTCTTGACGCTATAGGCTTTGTTGATCCCTCTTCAAACAGCGTTTATGGTGACCATAAAGCTCTATTTTGGTCTCATCTATCCACATTACAGTGTGCCAGAAGCTGTGAGATGTGTCAAGGTGGTGTTAGGCATATTGTTACTGGGCTTTTTTGTGGCATTCATGCAGTAAAGGCTTGTTTCTGGCAACTCGACCATGCAGCTCATTTTTGTTCAAGTAACGTCGTATTGTGCTCCTTGAAACAACCACACTGTTTTTTTTTCCAGAGCAGCCTATATTTCTCCTGAGCTTACCTGTGGGTTTTCTTTGTATCCCAAACAATTCTTCTGGCAGTTGTGGCTGCAATTTGTCTTGATCTACTTGACCTTGTATTGGTATCAAGAGATCCCAGAAATCTCCACTTTTTAAGTGATTGGATAGTACTGACTGGCATATTCAAGGCTTTGGATATCTTTTTATAACCTTTTCCTTTATCCTTTATAAAGTTCCATTACCTTGTTATGGAGTTCTTTTGACAGTTCCTTTCTGCTCCCCCTGGCTCACGATCTAGCCTGCTCAGTGCTTCCAAGCTCATTGATTATTTATACACAGACACTAATTGCCATTTAAAAAGCTGCAGATGTGGGAAATTAACATTTTATTTGCCGTTTTAACCTGTGTGTGTCACCTTGTGCGTCTATACCAAGGCCAAACATTCCAGGGTACGTAAACTTTTGATCAGGGCCATTTGGGTGATTTCTGTTATCATTATGATTTAAAAAGGAGCCACACAACTATGTGATAATACATGGCTTCATATGATTACCATCCTTAAATAAAAGTCAGTTTTTTGGCATGATCAGTCATATTTTCAATATCAATGGAAACATTTCAGGATTTTTGCCAGGGTATGCAAACCTTTCAGCACAACTGTAGATAGATAGAGAAATGGCTAGATTAGCGCTCTGTAGTTTGATTTCATTGGAAAAGATTACCCCTTTTACAGTCATGGCCGAAATTGTTTGATATTTCTCCAGGAAATCATGTATTTCTCACGAAACGTATTGCATTAACACATGTTTTGCTATACACATGTTTATTCCCTTTGTGTGTATTGGGACAAAACAAAAAAAGGGAGGAAAGAAAGCAAATTCGACATAATGTCACACAAAACCTCCAAAAAATGGGCTGGACAAAAGTATTGGCACCCTTTCACAACTGCGGATAAATAAGAATGTTACAAGCATGTGATGCTCCTGTAAACTCACCTGGGGCAAGTAACAGGTGTAATATAGAAATCACACCTGAAAGCAGATAAAAAGGAGAGACGTTCACTTAACCTTTGCATTGTGTGTCTGTCTGTGCCACACTAAGCATGGACAACAGAAAGAGGAGACGAGAACTGTCTGAGGACCTGAGAACCAAAATTGTGGCAAAATATCAACAATCTCAAGGTTACAAGTCCATCTCCAGAGAACTAGATTTGCCTTTGTCCACAGTGCGCAACATTATCAAGAAGTTTGCAACCCATGGCACTGTAGCTAATCTCCCTGGTCGTGGACGGATGAGGAAAATTGATGAAAGATTGCAACGCAGAATAGTCCGGATGGTGGATAAGCAGCCCCAAACATGTTCCAAAGACATTCAAGCTGTCCTGCAGGCTCAGGGAGCATCAGTGTCAGCGCGAACTATCCGTCGACATTTAAATGAAATGAAACGCTATGGCAGGAGACCCAGGAGGACCCCACTGCTGACACAGAGACATAAAAAGCAGACTACAGTTTGCCAAAATGTTTGAGTAAGCCAAAAGCCTTCTGGGAAAACATCTTGTGGACAGATGAGACCAAGATAGAGCTTTTGTAAAGCACATCATTCTACTGTTTCAAAACACAGTACCTACGGTAAAATATGGTGGAGGTTCAATATGTTTTGGGGTTGTTTTGCTGCCTCTGGCATGGGTGCCTTGACTGTGTGCAAGGCATCATGAAATTGAGGATTACCAAAGGATTTTGGGTCGCACTGTAGGGCCCAGTGTCAGAAAGCTGGGTTTGCGTCCAAGATCCTGGGTCTTCCAGCAGGACAATGACCCCAAACATACGTCAAAAAGCACTCATGGATGGCAAAGAAGCGCTGGAGAGTTCTGAAGTGGCCAGCAATGAGCCCAGATCTAAATCCCATTGAACACCTGTGGAGAGATCTTAAAATTGCTGTTGGGAAAAGGTTGTCCTTCCAATAAGAGAGACCTGGAGCTGTTTGCAAAGGAAGAGTGGTCCAAAATTCCGGGTGAGAGGTGTCAGAAGCTTATTGATGGTTATAGGAAGCGACTGATTTCAGTTATGTTTTCCAAAGGGTGTGCAACCAAATATTAGTTAAGGGTGCCAATACTTTTGTCCAGCCCTTTTTTGGGGTTCTTTTTGTGTGACATTATGTCATATTTGCTTTTCTGCCTCTGTTTTATATTTGTTCAATACATACAAAGGGAATAAACATGTGGTATAGCAAAACATGTGTTAATGCAATACCTTTTTTGTGTGAAATACTTGATTTTCAGGAAAAATATCAAGGGTGCCAACAATTTCGGCCATGACTGTATATACCTTTTTCTTCCACATGTTTCCCTTCCACATAACTTTCTATTAATGTGCTTTGATACAGCACTTTGGGAACATCCAACTTGTTTTGCAATTACCTTTTGAGGCTTTCCCTCCTTATCGAGGGTGTCAATGATGGTTTTCTGCACAACTGTCAGGTCAGCAGTCTTTCCCATGATTGTGATTCCTACTGAACCAGACTGAGAGACCATTTAAAGGCTCAGGAACCCTTTGCAGGTGTTATGGGTTAATTAGCTGATTAGAGTGGGACACTTTGAACTGAGAATATTGCACCTTTTCACAATATTCTCATTTTCTGAGATTGTGGATTTCGGGTTTTCATGAGCTGTAAGCCATAATCATAACAATTATGACAAATCACGGCTTGAACTATCTTGCTTTACATGTAATGAGTCTATCTCATATATTAGTTTCACCATTTAAGTTGCATTACTGAAATAAATGAACTTTTGCACGATATTCAAATTTTTCGAGTTTCACCTGTATATAGGAAGAACGCACACCCGGCAAACAAGGCAGATTAAGACAAATTTGTATTTTCAATCTTCTAAATGGTCAAAATCAGAAACAAGGAATACTACAAAATAAAGAAATCATGAAAATACACAATTGCATTTTTGGTACTATTTTTCACTAACACTAGCCTTTAACACTTGGCAATCAAATAATTTAGAACTTGGATGTAAATTCTACAATAAAAAAAATGCCTTTTGTTAATTAATTTATACATTTAATCACATAAATCTATAAATAGGTCTAATGCAGGCCACACATGGGTCGAACTCTGAACACATTTTCTTTAGAAAATCAGACATTTTTGATTTCGAAATTCAAACAATCAAGCCTTCAATTTCATCTCATGTTGTCACAGAAAAGAATTTTCATGGCCAAGAATTTTCTTTTCTTTCCAGGTCACAGCTCATGCTCATTTATTTTTATTTTTCTCGCACGATTCTCCCATCATTGATTCGAAATTTGTTCCTATTTCAAAACTTTTTCAACATGCCCGATCACTCGACTCACATGAAAATCGGCCATTTCTGTGACCCACTAATGGTGCGAAATTCGAACAAAAAGTCTTAGGAAAAGATCTTTCGGACTTTGAACCATGTTTGGTCAGCTTAAGAGAGCGACAACTGTGTAATGTAATGAAGAGAGATGGGGAACCTGGCTCTAAACTAGTGACTGTCCCTCAAAAAAATGGACAGTTGGGAGCTATGGACTTCCCTAGAAACACAAACAGCCCTAAGGAAAAATTAGTATAATAAGATAAATAGAATGGATCCAATTTCAATGAATCCTTTACATTTTACTACCACCTACACATTCCCAATATACAAATGCTTCATTCAGAAACTATGAATTGAACACGGAACAGTGTGGTAAAAATAGGCCAGTTTCAAGACTGAATACTTTAGCTCTGTGCAGCAGCCATGAACAAAGTGGGGGATTTATCAAAATTCGAGCAAACAGAATCTGGATCAGCTGGTCATAGTAACCAATCAGCTTCTATCTTCAGCTTGTTCAGTTAAGCTTTGAGCCTGTGTTAACACTTGTGCGGTGCAGCATATCACATGTGACTCGCAGAGGAACTGCATTCCTGTGCAAATCACATGCGAATTCTGTGTGGTGCAATTTGAGCCATACATTTTGTATGGCTCAAATCACACTGTATCCGTACCAAAAAGGTGCAGGACCCTTTTTTTGGTCCGCACTAGAATCGGATCGCATGGGTATTCACACCCATGCGATCCAATTCTGCACATTGCACCATGTTTTGCGGACCGATTTCGGGGTGTTGTTAACTTAACATACACACGCACAGGGCTGGATCTAGGGGGGTTCTGGGGTGGGCTGTGCCCACCCAGGTTTTAGCTCTGTGCCCCCCCCCCCAGATCTCTGAAAATGCATCCTCTAATCCATGAGCCAGTCTGATGCAGACAGTTAATGTAAGGAGGAGGCACACAGAAGGGTGCAATCGATATAAGGGGAGCACTCTGATGGGGACACTTAAAGTAAGGGGGCACTCTGATGGGGACTCTGATAGGGCACCTGATGTAAGGGGGCACGCTGATAGGGACACCTGATGTAAGGGGGCACTCTGATGGGGACACCTGATGTAAGGGGGCACTCTGATGGGGACACCTGATGTAAGGGGGCACTCTGATGGGAACTCTGATAGGACACCTGATGTAAGGGGGCACTCTGATGGGGACTGATAGAACACCTGATGTAAGGGGGCACTCTGATGGGGACACCTGATGTAAGGGGGCACTCTGATGGGGACTCTGATAGAACACCTGATGTAAGGGGGCACTCTGATGGGAACACCTGATGTAAGGGGGAACTCTGATAGGGGCTCTGATAGGACATGTGATGTATGGGGGACTCTGATAGGGACTCTAATGGGACAGCTGATGTAAGGGGGCATCCTGATGGGGACACCTGATGTACGGAGGTACTCTGATAGGGACCCTAATGTAAGGGGGCACTCTGATAGGGACCCTGATGTAAGGGGGCACTCTGATAGGGACCCTGATGTAAGGGGGAACTCTGTTGGGGACAGTTTATGTAAGGGGGAACTCTGATAGGGACCCTGATGTAAGGGGACACTCTGTTGGGGACAGTTTATGTAAGGGGGAACTCTGATGGAGGTACTCTCATGGGAACACCTAATGTAAGGGGGCAAGCTGATGGAAACTGAATGTAAAGGAGGCCTCTGATGAGGACTTCTGATTTAAAGGACTCTGCTAGGGACATCTGATACAAGGAGGACAGATTCTGTGTCAGCCTGATACATACTAGTGTTTCCCAGGTCGTGACACTGTGTGACAGACTCTCAGTGACTCACACACAGTGTTGGTATTATGCCCCCTGACTTTTTTTTACTGCTCCCCAGACCAGATAGGCTAGATCCGGCCCTGCACCTGCAGCGGTTCGCATGAACAGGGCACGATTCGAAATTTGATTGGTTGCCATGCTCAGCTGCTCCAGATCCTGGCTGCTCTAGTTTTGATCAATTCTATTGAAAGTGTGTTTGTTATTAGACAGAGACAAAGAGAATCACAGAATTTCCTGTAAGTTTGCATCTGTCGCTTCAATTGTATAGAGCACGTTGCCACTTTTCTTTGCTCCAGATTTCATGAATCAGACCTATTTTCTTTCCACAGCACTGCCAGACAATAGAAATAATAATAATAATAATAATAATGGGTATATATTCGCTTTACAAATAATATAGTATGCGCCGCACAAGCCGAGCACACACATGGCTGGGAAAGCTGTGCAGGATTTTTGTGCGGGGAACATTTAAATCCCAGTGACAGAAGCCTGGTGCTGGGTGCAGCCTGCACTTGGCAATAACATAGGTCAGCACACAGGATATTAGCTCTGGCATTCACAGCTAACAAAATAAAATGTTCTTTTCACTTGCTGCTAAAAAGGAAGTTGCTATAGCAACCTTTCAGTGCCTGTCTGTGTATCCGCCTCATTGGTGATGTCATCAGATGCCCCAGGACTGCGATGCCATGAAATAAACAGCAGCTGACAGGGGTGAGCCGCAAGGAAGTGTGTGGGCTGCATGAGCCAATCTGCAGTGGCATCTGACTACCATCGCTGTACGCAAGGGGTCACTGACAACCCAATTCTACAAAAGTCACCAGTTAAAAAACACAGATCACAGAAAAAAACACTGATTACAGTAAAAACACAGATCACAGTAAAAACACAGATCACAGTAAAAACACTGATCACAGTAAAAACACCGATCACAGTAAAAACACTGATCACAGTAAAAACCATTGATCACAGTAAAAACACCGATCACAGTAAAAACACCGATCACAGTAAAAACACTAATCACAGTAAAAACCATTGATCACAGTAAAAACACCGATCACAGTAAAAACACTAATCACAGTAAAAACCATTGATCACAGTAAAAAAATCACACAGATCACAGTAAAAAAATCACAGTAAAAACACGATCACAGTAAAAACACTGATTACAGAAAAAACCACTGATCACAGTAAAAACACCGATCACAGTAAAAACACAGATCACAGTAAAAACACCGATCACAGTAAAAACCATTGATCACAGTAAAAACACTGATTACAGAAAAAAACACTGATCACAGTAAAAAAACACCGATCACAGTAAAAACACTAATCACAGTAAAAACCATTGATCACAGTAAAAACACTGATTACAGAAAAAAACACAGATCACAGTAAAAACACAGATCACAGTAAAAACACTGATCACAGTAAAAACACCGATCACAGTAAAAACACTGATCACAGTAAAAAAACCATTGATCACAGTAAAAACACCGATCACAGTAAAAACACTAATCACAGTAAAAACCATTGATCACAGTAAAAACACTGATCACAGTAAAAACACTAATCACAGTAAAAACCATTGATCACAGTAAAAACACCGATCACAGTAAAAACAAACACAGAAAAAACCACTGATCACAGTAAAAACACCATTGATCACAGTAAAAACACCGATCACAGTAAAAACACTAATCACAGTAAAAACCATTGATCACAGTAAAAACACCAGATCACAGTAAAAACACTAATCACAGTAAAAACCATTGATCACAGTAAAAACACAGATCACAGTAAAAACACTGATTACAGAAAAAAACACTGATCACAGTAAAAACACCGATCACAGTAAAAAACTGATTACAGAAAAAACCACTGATCACAGTAAAAACAGATCACAGTAAAAAAAAACACCGATCACAGTAAAAACACTAATCACAGTAAAAAAACACAGTGATCACAGTAAAAACACTGATTACAGAAAAAAACCACTGATCACAGTAAAAACACAGATCACAGTAAAAACACAGATCATAGTGATCACAGTAAAAAACACTGATCACAGTAAAAAACATTCATAGTAAAACACTGATCACAGTAAAAACACAGATCACAGTAATCACACAGATCACAGTAAAAACACCTGATTCAGTAAAAACACTGATCACAGTGATCACAGTAAAAACACCGATCACAGTAAAAACACTAATCACAGTAAAAACCATTGATCACAGTAAAAACACCGATCACAGTAAAAACACTAATCACAGTAAAAAACATTGATCACAGTAAAAACACCGATCACAGTAAAAACACTAATCACAGTAAAAACCATTGATCACAGTAAAAACACCGATCACAGTAAAAAACACTGATCACAGTAAAAACACTGATCACAGTAAAAACACCGACACAGTAAAAACACAGATCACAGTAAAAACACTAATCACAGTAAAAACACCATTGATCACAGTAAAAACACAGATCACAGTAAAAACAGTAAAACCATTGATCACAGTAAAAACACAGATCACAGTAAAAACACTGATCACAGAAAAAAACACTGATCACAGTAAAAAAACCGATCACAGTAAAAACACTGATCACAGAAAAAACACTGATCACAGTAAAAACACAGATCACAGTAAAAACACCGATCACAGTAAAAACACTAATCACAGTAAAAACACATTGATCACAGTAAAAACACAATCACAGTAAAAAACACTGATTACAGAAAAAAAAACACTGATCACAGTAAAAACACAGATCACAGTAAAAACACAGATCATAGTAAAAACACAGATCACAGTAAAAACACAGATCATAGTAAAAACACCATTCATAGTAAAAACACTGATCACAGTAAAAAACACCATTCATAGTAAAACACTGATCACAGTAAAAACACAGATCACAGTAAAACACAGATCATAGTAAAAACACAGATCACAGTAAAAACACAGATCATAGTAAAAAAAAAGATCATAGTAAAAACATGATCACAGTAAAAACACAGATCACAGTAAAAACACAGATCATAGTAAAAACACAGGCACAGTAAAAAAACTTCATATTAAAAACACCATTCATAGTAAAAACACAGATCACAGTAAAAACACATTCATAGTAAAACACTGATCACAGTAAAAACACTGATCACAGTAAAAACACTGCTGTTGCAGTGCGGTTTAAAAAAGAGTCATGTACGATTTCTGAGCAGTGCCTTCAGGTTCAGCTGCTAATTACAGGCTATTGACTTCTATTAACTTTCTAAACTGCATATGTGTGAACAGGATAAAATGAGCTAATCCTGTCCTGAACCTGACGTAACCTGACCTGAAGCGCTGAACAACTACTGTATCAATTGGCTGAGAAACCTGAGCTTCAATCCGCACCGCACATGTGTGAATCAGCTCTAAAAGAGCCAGACGGCAGCACTCTTTAATCCTTTAAAAATCCACTTGTATTGATAAGAATCCATGCAAAGCAGCATAAAATCAGCCTGGAGGTACAGCTGGAGGAAACACAGGTTAAAGCGCTCCGCTCTACCCACAGCACTTAAAGAGGAGTTCCAGATCTCCCCCCCCAAAAAAAATTAAAAGTCAGCAGCTACAAATACTATTAGGACACTTACCTGTCCAGGCATCCAGCGGTGTCCTTACCTGAGCCAATTCTTCAATCAGCTATTGGGTTTTGGCGCCACCTTCTTGACTAAGGGAAACCAGCAGTGCAACCTTGTGGATTCACAGCTGGTTTCCTACTGCGCATGCGTGAAGCGTGCTGCGCTTTGTGAATGGGCTGCAGTCTTCTGGGACCTGTGAAGTGTCCCAGAAGGCTGTGGGGAAAGGAGGGGGGTTGAACTTCCAGGTCAGTTTGCCACGGCAAACTGAGCCAGAAGTGGGAGTGGGTACCTGTCAAAACCAAGTACCCGCTCCCCTCTCCCCCCCCCCCCAAAAGGTGCCAAAAGTGGTAGCAGAGAGGGGGAGGCAGACAAGTGGAGCTTCCACTTTTGGGTGTAACTCCTCTTTAATCATAACCCATTATGATTAAGCACTGTGAGTATCCTCCCCCCCCTCTGCTGTACCTCCTTGCTGATTTTATGTTGCTTCGTATGGATTATTCTCAATACAAGTGGATTTGAAGAGTGCAGCCATCTGGATCTTTTCGTCTTCTCATGCGCACAGCATTTGTGAGCTTGGCTTGCAGCCTTTTGATGTTGTAAGGGGAGGTTATTAGGCTCCATGTACACTGGAACATTTTCAGATAAATGCCAAATGCAGCAAAAATGCATATAAACAAGATACCCCTCGTTTAGCCACGTTTACCCGCATTTAGAGCTGGGACGTTTTATTCATTTTAATGGCAAGTACTCGAATTTGACAGGTATCCGCTCCCACTTCCACTGCGAACTCCTAGGCGATTGGAAGCAGAAGTTGTCCCCCTCCCTCCCTGTAGTCTTTTGGAACACGTGACAGGTCCCAGAAGACTACAGGGGCATTCACAAAGCGCAGCGCTACTCGCACATGTGCAGTGGGCACCCGGCTGTGAAGCCGCAAGCTGTCACAGCCGAGTGCCCACACTGAAGATGCCAGCCCCAGGGAGAGAAGACGGCTGGTGAAACCAGCGGTGGTGAGGACACTGCTAGACCGAGGGACAGGTAAGTGATCGTATTTTAAAAGTCAGCAGCTACAGTTTTTGTAGCTGCTGACTTTTTTTTTTTTTTCAGGTGGAACTCCGTTTATAGTCCCTCTCCTAAACGCAGAAGAATTGTGTTCAGGA